GTTGTGTTCCCACATTTAGAAATGTGAATGGTTTTCTGTTGTCTTAAGCAGGGTGTTCAGTAGAACTCGTGTGATAGCAGAAATGTCCCATAACCTGCACTGCTCAGATGTGGCCGCGGACCCCGCGTGCTGTGAGCACTGAGGACCTGGCTGTTGACGGAGGAGCTGAGCTTTGCTGTGTTAGGTTACGTCTGAGTTGCCACATGTAGCTGTGGTCACCATGGGTCTGGAGAGTTCAGGGCCACTCTGGCCTGTATTGCAGACTTAGCAGCCAGCCAGTGAGGCCTACAGTGTCTGTGCATCAGAAATGGTAGGGATGCTGGCTACAGCTGTGCCCACCTCTATTGTGCTGGGCATGGATGCTGGGCATGCACTGTGCCACTGAGCTGTACCCTGTGCCCTCCCTCCTCTCCCTGCCCCCATCCTGCTGTGGTCTGCAGTTGGTTGCCTGCATTCACGTGTGGCTGTGCCCCATCTTTAAAGCCCTCCCTGATTTCCCCTAATCAGAGGCCTCTGCATCTGCTGGCCTTGCTATGAGGAGGGATAAGCTGCCTCCTAATTCATGGCTGGCGTCCACCTCTGACGGTACGTGGCGCTATGGACTTTAACATCCCTGCTGGCTTGAACCACTGGTGGTTTTCCCACTGGGTGGCTTGAGCCCCGGGCCGCCTGATGGGACAGTCGTGCGTGTAGGGCCCCGTTGTGACCGTGTTAAATTGTTCCGCCGGCGCCCAAGCTTGAGGAGGGAACTTCCCCTGATGCCATGTCCCCGCAGGCTCGCAGGTCCTGGCTGGGTAGGCGCCTTGCCTCGCTGTGCAGGAACTCTGTCAGTGATACCTGGCGGGTCCAGTGCTCCTGCGGCGCTGGGGAGATTCTGGGCTGTGGCAGGCGTGTCTGCTGATGTGCCCCTGCCCCCACAGGCCTCCTCACCGTCTCCGGGTCACCATGAATGCCATCGTCGCGCTCTGTCACTTCTGCGAGCTCCACGGCCCCCGCACTCTGTTCTGCACGGAGGTTCTTCACGCACCCCTGCCGCAGGCTGCTGGGAGTGGGGACAGCCCTGGCCAGGGCGAGCAGGCCGAGGAGGAGGAGGGTGGCATCCAGATGAGCAGCCGGGTCCACGCCCACAGCCCAGCTGAAGGGGCCAGTGCCGAGTCTAGCAGCCCAGGGCCCAAAAAGTCGGACATGTGCGAGGCAAGTGTCTGCGGGACCTTGGGGACGTTGTGCTGTCTCCTGGAGGTGAGGTGGGGGATGTGAGGAGGACAGGAGACCTAGGTTCTGAGAGCGCTGGGTGAAGCCTTCGGATGACTACTCAGGCTCAGGCTCTCAGTGGCCCTCTGAATGTGCTTGTCTCCGGCTGGGTACCTCTGGTTCTCTCCCTTTGTTCCTACTTCAGCTTTTGTGTGGTTTTATTTTGTTCTGGTTTTTTCAGTCCTGGGGATGGAACCTAGGATCTTGCGCATCCTGGCAAGCACTGTACCACTGACCTACCTGCCCAACCCTTATTTATTTATTTATTATTTTTTGGTACCAGGAATCGAACTCAGAACCTTGCACTTGCCAGGCAGATGTTTGTGCCACTGAGCTATATGCCTGGCCTCCTACTCGATATTTAAATTTCTTTTTTTTTTTTCTTTAAATCTTTCTGAGGCAGGTCTTGCTGAGTTGCCTAGGCTGGCCTTAAACTTGTGATCCTCCTGCCTCAGCCTCCCAAGTAACTGGGGTTACAGGCATGCACCACCCATGCCAGCCCAGGTTTTAGCCTTTTTGATCTGCTCTGTTCTAGCAGACAGTTGTCACCCAGTGTGGCATTTACTTTTGTTTTTGCACACCCCAGCTGTCCTTGGCTTGGGGCCCTTCAGTCCAGTGTCTGTGGGAGTTTCTTAGGAGAGTCCTGGCGTTCTTTGTTGTGTGGGTTTGTGAGCTCTGGGGAGCACAGCTGAAGTTTCCTCAGTGGTTCACTAGTGGTGGCTCTGGGTGGGGCTTAAAATCCAGGGTGAGAGGCCCATCTCAGGGCGAACGGGACTCCAGACTCCTTCCTTGTTTGGTTCTGCTGAGAACTAGGCAGTGTGCAGTTGCTAGAAATTTCTGCGGGGAACCAGCGGCAATGTATGGAGATCATTCAGGCCTGCAAGAGTGGAATCTTGGAGGGCTCTGCCAGCCCTAGGCAGGGTCCAGGCTGCCGTGGAGCCCTGCATCGGTCTCGGGAGGGGTCGGCCGTGAGCCCTGCATCATGCACTGCCTGAGCACTAGCGTGGCTGAGCTGTGGCAGGGTGCGGCCCCCACTTCCTCACGCAGGCGGTCTGAGTAGTACCTTCTCAGGCTTCCACACCAGCACGCAGACGGCCAGCGTCCCTGGGGCCAGTCTGGCCAAGCCCTCTGCCGCGTTGTTCAGCACCAAGGACAGAAGCCGGTGGGGTGGGGCGGGGCTGGTGGCATTGCTCAGAAGAGGTATGGCTCTGGTTGTTGGGACCAGCTCCTTCTCTGCTCAGCCTGTTCTCTGTAAAATGGCATCACCTCATAGGGTTGCACTTTGGATTAAGGTAAAGCATGCAAAGCTCTTCATAATATCTGCTACACAGGTGCTCAGTGAGTATGTCCTGGCTTCTGCCAACCCTTGTGAGCCCTGGGTCCTGAGTCCCGGTTATAAGTCCTCAGAGGAGTGCAAATCTGGGAGCCAGTTATCTGTGTACAGTACAAGGAAAGCAGTTTGTAACCTGACTAACTAGCACCTGCTTTTCCTTCTTGTGGATAGGGCTGCCGGTCACTGGCTGCAGGGCACCCAGGCTACATCAGCCATGATAAAGAGACCTCAATTAAGTACGTCAGTCACCAGCACCCCAACCACCCACAGCTCTTCAGCATTGTCCGCCAGGCCTGCGTCCGGAGCCTGAGCTGCGAGGTGAGCCTGGGGCTGTGTGCAGGTTTGGGGCTGCAGGGGGACAGGGAGGTGGGGCTGGTCTCTCCGAGGGCCTGGCAGTCCCTGCAGCCTGGAGTGTGGCATACTTAGTTGCCTTGAACTTAAACAAATAAGTCATGACGGACTCTAGTTTTTTAAATAGGTGCCAGCTTTCCTTCTTTTTCTCCTTCTCTTTCTCTTTTTTTTTTTTATGAGTCAGGGTGTCGCTGTGGAGTCTGGGCTGGTCCTGAACTCATTACGTAGTGCAGGGTAGGCTTGAACATGCAGCAGTCCTCCCAAGTGCAAGTGCTGAGATTATGGATGTGCACCGTCACGCCCAGCCTAAGTTTCACTTCAAGCACCATTTTTTGTCTATTCTTGTTGGATACATTCCTAAGATAGGAATGATTTCTAGCCTGTGTAGTCACTGTATCACACAGTACCTTGTGTACTGTCTGCCATCGCTGTATGTCTCTGGCTTCATCACGTTTTGCCGAAGGTACCTCCTAGAGAGTGACTCGGTGGTTCCTACACTCTGGCTGCGGCTGTTAAACTTGAGTGTTGGCTTTTAGTTTTTTAGGAACTGAAGACACAGGAGCTGTCCTGCTGCGCACTCCATCCGACCCTGAGCCCTAGCTGCGGGTCCCCACTGTGGTTCTGTGCCCACTGTCAGTAGTTCCCTCTCCGAACTTCCTGCTGTGCCTGGCTGGCCGGCAGATAGAGGGTCGTGTGCCCTTCCAGTGTGTGTTAGTAAAGATGTCACAGGGTGGGACTGAGGCCCCCAAGAACAGGGTGTGCAGATTTGACTCTAGTGGCTATTTTGACCTGTGGTTCCTCAGTCTACTCAGACTAGCAGGTGGGCACATTTGAGTGTAGGGTAGATGAAACATTTGTTAGCAGTCATTTGTGGCTCAAGGTGGAAAAAAGTAAGGGGCCTGCTGTACTGACCCCAGCACGCCAGGTAACAGGTGTTACTTCTAGAAAGTTTGCCGGCACCCGGCGGTATTGCTCAGTGATAGAGCGTGTGCTTAGCGTGCCAGGGCCCTGCGTTCCATCCCAGGCACTGGGAAGAAAGAAGGTCCAGTGGGGAGTTTTTGATCTGGCGTCGCAGAGGCAAGGAGAACTGCCCCTGCAGGCCCTGTGGTTTCCTCCCAGGTGTGCCCTGGCCGTGAAGGGCCCATCTTCTTCGGGGATGAGCAGCATGGTTTTGTGTTCAGCCACACCTTCTTCATCAAAGACAGCCTGGCCAGGGGCTTCCAGCGCTGGTACAGCATCATTGCCATCATGATGGACCGGATTTACCTCATCAATTCCTGGCCCTTCCTGCTCGGGAAGATCCGAGGGATCATCGATGAGCTCCAGGGCAAGGCCCTCAAGGTAACGTCCTAGGGAGGCACCGGCCCTGCTGGCGTCTCTCCTTGCTCTGCTGTGGCTTCCAGGAGCTCAGTGAGCCGTGCTCCTGTTGGTCCTGTGGCTGCTGTGTGCCGAGCTGCCTCCTGGAGGTGGAGCTGGGCGCTGTGATGGGCATCTCGGCCAGCTTTACTTTCGCCCCTCGCCTGCACCCACTGTCCTGGGTCGTCTTCACTCTGGTTTCCTTGCAGCAGTCAGGCTGCCGGCAACCTCCTTCCTGTCTTTGCTTCCCTGCCCTTCCTGCCAGAGACTGCCCATTAGTGAGAGCCCACCCGCCCCAAGCAGAGACCTCCCGCTGTAGTGCCCTGTCTCGGGGTAAGACAGGATGCTGTGGCACGAGCCCTGAGAGCGCCGCGTCTCCAGACCACAGGGCCTGTTTTCTCCAGCGGTGAAATGTGGAGGGCCCTGCGTCTCCTCTGGTTGCTGGAGGGAGTCCCATGGCCCTGGTGTGAGGTCTGCGTAGCAGGCCCGCCAAGGGAGGCCAGAGCGCCTGGAGATCACGGCTGCTGCAGGGCGTGTGTGGCCCAAGTCCCCAGCAGGTTCCTCAAGAGCCGGTGGTGGGGCAGGAGAGCGTGCGAGAGCTCTCTGCCAGCTCCCTCCCTCGAGGGGGCAGAGCCGGCCTGTGTGGTGGTCAGACTGCAGGTGCTTGCTGTGTGCTGTGTCAGGAGTCGCCCCAGTGGCTGGCTTCATTCTCGCTGCTCTCCCCTTGGCGTTGCAGGTGTTTGAGGCGGAGCAGTTTGGGTGCCCCCAGCGTGCTCAGAGGATGAACACCGCATTCACACCCTTTCTGCACCAGAGGAACGGCAACGCGGCCCGCTCGCTCACCTCCCTGACCAGCGATGACAACTTGTGGGCCTGTCTGCACACCTCCTTTGCCTGGTAATGCGTGCCTCCGGCTTTTGGCCGCTGCTGGAGTGAAAGCAGTCGCTGATGTTGGCTGGATTTTCCTTGGTTTGGGAGAATAGTCCTTACTGAGTTGGCAGGCTGCCGCTGGGGGAGGGGTTCCCATGGGCACTGCTTGGTGAACGCAGAGCTGGCCAGTGGGTGTTGTCTGGGCCTCTTTCTGCTCTTGAAGGGAAGACAAATTTAGGTGGAACTTGTTTCCCAGTAATAAAAAAAAAGTTTCTGTACCAATAATCCCCTCCTTTAAAAAAACAACATAAACATTAATCTCATGGCTCCTGCCGGTTGGGAAGTCAGAATTAGCTTAGCTGGGTGTTCTGGCTCAGGTCACAGGGAGGTGTTTTTGGCCACAGCTGCAGTCCGCTGAGGCCTGACTGGAGTGCGGGCTGAGTGGCTGGCTGTGGGCAGCGAAGGAGGGAGCTGGCACCCTCAGAGTGCCCCAGTTCAAGAGAGTGGGGTGGGCCCTACAAGGCTTATGGCCCTGGGCTTGGCAGGGGGCCTGCTGTCCCTGGCGGCACTCGGTGCATCATGGGAGGGTGTGCTGATGCTGGGCCAGGCCTGCGGGGGGTCAGCCTCCCGCACAGGAAGGGGGAGAGTGTCCGCGCATTGTGGACTTGGAAGCCGCTGGTGAGCTTCTGTCTGTGCGTTGTTTCTGCCCTCCCACTGCAGGGTCTCCTCCTGCCAGAGCCCCCGCCCTCAGCTCCTGCCCAGGTGGCATCACCTTGAAGTCCATGTAGTACAGATCTGTCCTGGTGTGGAAGGAGTCCTGGGTGAACCCAACTTTACCTCCTAAGATTACACAAACTGAAAAATATCCATTCCCCCAACTGTCATATAGTCTCAAACTTTTTTAAGAATTGACAAGCAAAAATTGTATATGTGCATATGTGCATATATACTGCGGTACCTCTGTTCATGAGCTTAACTTGCTCTGTGATTCTGGGGGAGATGGCCACAGTTGGCCAAACTGTTGCCAAATGCTTGTTTGTGAACCAAATGGCTTGCAAACAGAAGTGCCGTGAACTGAGTCATTACTGTATATGCATATAAACAGAGTCTGTCAAAAAAAAGTGTACACACTTCAGGAAAAGAAAAATATTAAATGTCTAGAAGCTGATGGCCACTACTTTGGTCACCTCTTGAGGCCAAAGACAACTTGTATCAATCTCATGATGTCTCAGTGAATTTAGTATTAAAATATTTGTGTAAGTTTTTCTTTGCCAGAAGCATACATGTTCTTTGTCAGACTCTGTGTGTACCTTTTTAATGGTGTACAGTATGATGTGTTTGTAAGTAGTCACTTGCTACATAAAGATGCCTTTCTTAGACAGGCTGGGTGTGGTGGTGCACGCCTATAATCCAGCACGTGGGATGCTGAGGCAGGAGGGTGGCGGCGAGTTCGAGGCCGGCCTGAACTACTAGGGGACACTGTGTCAAACAAGAAAACAAAACACAACACAGACATCTTAGCAGCGGACTGTGTGTCTAGCAGTGTTTGCATAAGGTGCTGCCCAAATGGTGTCCTGGTGTGCGAGCGACACGTGTCTACTGTAGACATTGGGTACATTGAGCCTGGTGTCTTATTGTATTATTTATCTGGGGGGGTTTGAGACAAGGTCTTGCTGTATGGTTCAGGCTGGTCTTGAAGTCACTGTGTAGTCCAGGCTGGCCTTGAACTCACTGCAGTCTTTCTTGCCTCAGCCTCCCACGCTCTCACATATGTATCAATTAACTTATGGTGACAACACTATTCTCTTACCTTACTCCTGTATTTTATTTTATATATATATATATTTGTCTTTTTCAGACAGGGTCTCGCTATGTAGTTCAGGATGGTCTTGAGCTCACTTTGTAGCCCAGGCTTGTGTCAGAGTTGCAGGGATCCTCTTACCCCAGCTTCCCGAGTGCTGGGATTACAGGTGTGCACCACCACGCCCAGCTACTCCTGTATTTTAAACATCACTTCCATTGCAGTGATTTCAGACAGACCCAAAGTAGAATAAAAGTGCAGTGAACTTGTTACCGTGCTCCATTCAGCGTCAGCAGTTTTTACTATGTTCTCTCTCTTTTTCTAGATTTTTTTTTTGTACCGGAAATCTAACTCGCACCTTGCGCTTGCCAGGCAGGTGTTTGTGCCGCTGAGCTATATTCCCGACCCCCTTTTTTTTTGAGACAAGATCTCATTTTGCAGTTCGGGCTGGCCTTGAACACACTGTATAGTCCAGGCTAGTCTTGAACTTCTGGTGATCCTCCTACCTCAGCCTGCTGAGTGCAGGGATTACATGCGTGTGTGTCACACCCAGCTAGAATATTTTTAAAACAAATCTTAGTGTGTCATTTCAAGTATAAATATAACCATAATACCATTATTCTGTCCAACAAAATGAAGTCATTCCTGGTATCCAGGGCGCAGGACTTGTTCAGTGTTCCCTTTGGTCTCAAAGGTGACCTTTCTGCAGGGCTGGGGTGGAGCCCAGGCCTTGTGCGTGCAGGACAAGGGTCGTAGCACTGAGCCTCACTCCAGGCTCAAAGATGGTTGAATTGGGATCACAACAAGGAGTTCCTTTCACTAGTAACCACCACCACCCCCGCCCCGTTTTTCTGATGCTCTTTCATGAAGGACCTCAGTCACATCTTGCAGAAAGGATCAGGCTGTGTCCTTGTGGGTGCAGCTAGGATATTTTTGTAAGACAAGATCTCACCATGTTACCCAGGCTGGCCTTGAAGTCCTAGGCTTAAGCAGTCCTTTTCCTCAGCTTCCTTAGTCACTGGGGCATGGGCCACGCTTCCCTGCCAGTTTGTTCTTTTAGGCCTGTGTTTTCTGTAAACTTGCAGTTGAATCGAGGAGCTTGATGTGACTTTGGATGAGGTGTCTCTTAGGTAAGAGGTCTTCCTACCTGGTGCTGTGTTCTGTAGGCTCCTGAAAGCGTGCGGCAGTCGACTGACAGAAAAGCTGCTGGAGGGCGCGCCCACAGAGGACACCCTGGTGCAGATGGAGAAGCTCGCCGGTGAGCCCCGGTGCTGCTGGGGCGGGGCTTGCCCGGGGTGGCTGTGGGACCGCCTGGCTCCTGGTCTCCAGGCAAGAGCTGCTTACACAGGGAGATGTGGTGCTGAGGGTCTGCGACGAGCCTTCCTAAAATCAGGCCCTTTGCTCTTTGTGTTTTTGTTCAGCTTTCTTCTGTCACTTTCCTTGATGGTGTTTTGAAATGTTATTCCCCAGATAGATTAACAGTTCAAGGTTAGGGCTCCCTTAAGAGAGAACTGACGGGAGCTTTTCCTCTCCATGTCTTACGACGCTAGCCAAGAGCCGCCCTTGTAGACAGTCTGTGATTCTTTGCTCAGAATGAATGAAGGGGTGTGTCAGTTGGGCCCAAGTTTTCCAGCAAGGGCGGCTGTCCCCCAACCTCCCAAGTCCCTTGCCTCCCCAGGGTCATGGGGTCCAGAGTCCTGTGTGTCAGATTCACTTCCCAGGGACCCTGGGCCTTCCAACCCTTTGGAGCTCTTCAGGGTGATCCCTACACACACTTGGGCTTCAGCATGCTCTTCCCAAGCGGGGAAGGTCAGGAGTGAGGTCTTAGCGGTCGTACAGCGTGCTCAGAAAGCAGAACCTCACATTCGCCCTCATGCCCACGTCTCCCGTGGCCTTGGCACCATTTGTGTTTGTACCAGTGACAGACTTTGAGGCCAGTGCGGGGGGTAGGGCCAGCCTCTTGAGGATCTTTGCACGGAGAAGTCAGGCTTCCGGGAGCTTTCAGGGATATGAGATGCCAGGTGCTCTGCTGTGGCCTAGGTCGTGCTGGGCGTGAGGGAGAGGAGCACGGGCCTGGCGCACACTTTGGAACCGCACAGACCTGGTTTCGTCATGCGTGCCCTTCTCCTCGGGTCCTCCTGTCACATGGAGCAGGGATGCACTCATATGCGGAGACTGTTACGGAGACTCTAAAACAGACCTTTCTGTTTTTACCCGGAGACGGGGTGGCAGTGTTGACCTCCGAAAGCCAGAGGGCGGAGTGTGGGCCGGGGGCGGTGGGGGGCATCTAGTGGAGCTCCTGCTGAGTAAAGACGCAGGGCCGCATTCTCATCGCTGGCTTCCCCACCAAAGAGAAGACAACTTTTAGTTAGTCGTCCTAAAACATAATGTGATACCCAGGCCATGGAAACAGCCCTGGAGCCCTTCTTACCCTCTCAGGGCTCCCAGGAGAGCAGCCACCGGGACGCGGAAGAACCAGTGGCTGGTGGGGATAACCGCAACACGCCTTGGGGGGCGGTGGTCCTGGAACGCGTCTGTCACGTTCGGGGAGCGATGTTCCGTGACTGTCCTTATCTCCTGTAGACTTGGAAGAAGAATCAGAAAGCTGGGACAACTCTGAGGCTGAAGAAGAGGAGAAGGCATCTGTATTGCCCGATAGTACAGAGGGGCGGGAGCTGACCAAATGTCTGACAGATTCGTCCTTACTGTCAGACTGTGGAAGCTGGCAGCCTCGGAAGCTGTCGGTGTTCAAATCCCTTCGGCACATGAGACAGGTAAGCAGCAGAGGCTAAAGCTCCCTCATCAGAAACCAGGAGAAGAGCCCAGGCTTGTCTGACCAGTCTGTCTCCTGGGCCTGACTTCTTCCAAGGTAACAGCCAAGAACTTTCTCAGTGGGTGGCTGAAAGTGCGTGAGGATCTAGGGTGTATTAGCTACAGCACCACTGCTTTTGTTTTATACGAGGATTGAACCCAGGACCTTCCCACTGAATTACATCCCCAACCCTTTTTAAAAAGTATCCTAGGGCTGGGGATGTAGCTCAGTGGCGCAGTGCCTGCCTGGCAAGCATGAGGTCCTGAGTTCAATTCCCCATAACAACAACAAAAAAGTATCCCATAGCTGGGTGACGTAACACACACATGTGATCCTAGCACCCGGGAGGCTGAAGCAGGAGGATGGCTGTGAGTTCAGGGCCAGCCTATGCTTTGTAGTGAGTTAAAGGCCAGCTTCAGCTATGTAATGAAGCCCTGTCTCAAAAAAACAATTACTCATTTTTTATTAGTACATGTTTGAAATAACGTAGTGAAATAACATAGTGATTACCTGTATTGTGTTGTTTTATTTTGAAATGGGATCTTCCTGAGTTGGCCAGTCTCAGCTTTCTAGAGTGCTAGGATTATAGGTGTGCTCCATCATGCTTGGCTTTGTGATCCCCTTTTAGTGACAACTTCAGATCTGTGTGCAGACAAAGGCCTGGATAGATAGCTTCATGTGGGCCCTGGTCTTGATATGCTAGAAGAATCTCTTTATTGTTGCTTTTAGACAGTCTTGCTATATAGTTCAGGCTGACCTTGGTCCTCTTGCCTTACCCTCCCAAGTGCTGGGATTACAGTCATGCACCACCATGACGTCTGACTTTCTAGTATGCTCCTAAAGGGTTTGAATAGCACTGTTGACTTTTGTGCTTCCAAGACACTGCAGTTGAAAGTGATGGATATTGTTATAAAAAATTGGGAACAATCTGAATGTCCAGATGTAGCAGTGAGGGTGTGCCAAAGCAGTGAAATGTCATGAAGTCAGAGAAGGCCAGGAGAGCGGCGAGGTGATGGGTGTGTGCCTGTGTTGTGTGTGCATAACAGGTAGCCTCACACCACAACAGCTGTGGCGTGTCGGTCAGGTGGGAGGCCAGGTTTGCTTGGTTATGGGGACAGGTTGTTCATTTTATAATAATTTTCTGTATTTTTATGAAGAACATTGAATTTCTGTTTGGAAAATGTAGCAAGAAGAATGATGTACTGTCATATCGGGTTAAATAACCTTTAGTTGTTGCAAGGTGATCAGGCCCACAGTCTCCCAAACAAGTGGATGGCGAAGGCTTAACTAAGTGAGACAGTTGAAATGATTTTAAGACCCCAGGACGCTCCAACTCTCTCACAGAGTTCAAGATTCTCTGGGTTTAGACAAAGACTTCTCTGGCAGCGCGTATTTATTTGGTTTTCAAACAAAGGAGGAGAATACTCAAGAAAATGCGGGAATCTTGCAGGACCTTGGTAGAATTTTCCCAAGCAGTAAATTATGTCAATCAGGAGAACTACCTTATCTTCAGGTTGACGTTTATTGTAGGAGTGTGGAGCCTGCAGCTACAGTCTCCTTTTTTTTTTTTTTTCCTATGCTTCTTTTTATTTTCCATTTTTCTGTGCTTATTTGCATTTTTCTTTTTCTTTTTTTTTTTTTTACAGTCTCCTTTTAGTTAACTTGGGTTGGAGCCAGATGTCCTCAGCTGCGGCCTTATCTTGTCCTTTGAGGCATCACAGCTTCACAGGACAATACAGGCCTCAGTGGGGACCAGTGACTCACAGAGGTTCACTTACTATGAGTCCATTGCCCATCTCCAGACAAGGTGCCTGAGCTTCGGACAACTCACAAGTAAACACGGAAAGCCAATTGATTAATATTAAATTCTACTCAGTGCCGCTTCATAGTGGTCTCCATCAATGTCAGATCCCCACTCCCCAGGCTTCTGGATGAAAATAATGCTCCTCCCGTCCACATCGTGTCTCGGGCTGAATGCCTTGTTGAGTGTTCACATGGGTTAATGTCAGAAGGGACCGGGGTACTTGGAGGTTGGTGGAGTTGGGTAAGATGTGTGAGCATCACCTTTTTGGTTGTGTTTTGGAGTCGCGTTTGGGTTCTTAGAAGGCATAAGACAAGAGCCTGCCCTTTTCTAAAGTGTCAGAGTTCCGGGAATGAATCAGAGGAAAGGGAGGGGAGCTGTTAGGGTTGGAGAGTGAAAGACCTGACGACTGAAAGCCGTCCTGGGGTTGTTCCAGGGTCAAAACTGCAGCTGTGAAGGACACACGCACGGCAAGGCGCTGCGTGTGACTGGCGTCCTGTCTCGGGAGGGCACAGGCTGGGTCGTGGGGTGCAGCCTGCGGTCCTCCTGGGTGCTGTCATATGCTATCTGCCGCTTACTTCAGGTGGCTCAGGAAAGCACAGCATGTCTATAGGGAGAAGGTAGGGCCTCGGATGTAGCTCAGCGGCACAGCACCTGCCCTGGCAAGTGCAAGGTCCTGAGTTTGATTCCCAGTACCAAAAAAGAGGGTAACTGTTAGAAAAGATACCTCATTGCTTCATTTTTAAAAAGTGAAATTTAGGGGGAAAGCTCTTAAGGATGCAAGAGCTTTGGAATCTAGCCTTTAGGTGCAGACCTGGGGACTTCTGTCCTCCGCAGTCAACCCTAGGGAAGTCAGCAGGTTACTGAGAAGTACCTTTCTCTTTTCTGACCCCTCCTCCTTTGCCAACAAAGTTCCCAAAGAAAGAAAGTAACTTCCTTCCGAAGGAGGTGAGGAGTGGCTTCCGTTAACCTGCAGGACACACTGTGTTGCAGGTGCTGGGGGTCCCATCGTTCCGCATGCTGGCCTGGCATGTTCTCATGGGGAACCAGGTGATCTGGAAAAGCAGAGATGTGGACCTGGTGCAGTCCGCCTTTGAAGTTCTGAGGGTAAGAGCGCCTTTTCCCCAGCTGTTGTGTGGGCCAGTGTGTGGGCCTGGTGCCTGACTGCAGGCAGAGGTGTCACGGTGCGGAGCCTGCGCCCGTCCACGCGGGAGTCCAAGACCAGCGTTTTCTCGTCTCTTACGCGTGGCCGTCGGCGATGTCTGCAGGGGGCGGAGTTTGTGCTGTCCCGGTAGACAGCCGGCTGCCCCCTGCCCCTCCCCAAGCCTTCAGTCTCTAAGAAGCCACGAGTGTGCGTCTGGCCCACGCCCTCTGCACGCCCTCTCCTCAGTGGGCAGGCTGGGTGGCAGGCACAGTGCACAGGGGCAGTGGCCTCGTGTTTAAGTCCTGGAAGGTGTGTGCCTGCCTGCTGCCTGCCGAGGTCTCTGAGTGTAGAAGGGAATAGGACCTGTTTCAAAGCCTATCAGCTCTTGGCGGGGAAGAGACGAACATCCAAGGAGGCAGAGTAACATGAGCAGTTTGCACGGCCGAGCAAGAGGCAGAAGGAGTCAGCGTGTGACAGCGGCCAGCAGAGGAGCTGGGGCCTTGGGGTGGGAGCGACCTTGAGGAGGGGCCCGGGGCCGGGCTGCAGAGGGCGCGTGGGTGTGCTTGGAGGGCGTGCTCTGAGCCCCCTGTCCTCTGCAGACCATGCTGCCTGTAGGCTGCGTGCGCATCATCCCATACAGCAGCCAGTACGAGGAGGCCTACCGGTGCAACTTCCTGGGGCTCAGCCCGAATGTGCAGGTGCCCGCCCACGTGCTGTCCTCAGGTGCGTGCTGCCACTGTGGGCCTTCTGGGAGGGTCCCACACCTCAGCCCAGAGGGGTGCTGGATCTCAGCCGTGCGTCCTAGGCTGCAGCCTGCTGTCTGAGGCGGGAGGACCCATGCTTCCATGTGTGTAGAAGCAATTTTCCTGGTGGCTTTGGGCCTCCACTTCCTGCCTTCAGAATGGGCGGGGGTGGCTGGCAGGGGCTGTGGTTCTCAGCTGGTCGGTGCTGCAGGTAGAGGGTCCATGGAGGACAACAGAAGTGGGTGGCTTGCTGGGCTTAGGGATAGGAACAGTGGTAGTCACGCAGGAGTATTGCTGGCTGCCTTTTCTCGGTGGTCTCCCACCTACTTCGCATCCTGGCTGGCTTTGCTGTCCTCAGGTGTGCTGCCCGAGAATGCAGTGGGCCCTGCTCCCTGGCGGCTGGCCACCCTCGTGGACAGAGCCACGGATGTGTTGGCCCTGAGACCTTGACTTGGGGACACTCAGGAGCCAGCCTGGATGTAAGCCTGGCCTTGTAGACAGCGCAGTGATGCTCGGGGCTAGGTGTGGCCGCAGAGCTGGCGGAGGGCGGCCGTCCCCGCTCTGAATTGGTCTTCAGTGCCAGGCCGGGCCCTGAGACCCACAGGGCAGGGCCTGCAATCTGGGTGGTACAGAGTTCCAGAGATGGGCTCGAAATGCCTGTCCTCACCAGCTGTATGACCTTGGGCGAGTTACTGAACTTGTCAGAGTCTGTTTCACAATGGTAAAATGGGGTGACAAGGCTGCTCTTGCAGTGCTACTCAGTGTGAAGTGATGTGTGCTCGTTGTATATTATTATAATACAAAAATTATAATAACTGAGGCAGAAGCTGCCCAGCAGCTCTGCTTTCACACGGCAGAAGTTTTCGACATGACCGCATCTCTTTCGGGAAAGCTCTGCCTGGCGGAGGCTCCCGGCTGATGCGCAGTAATGTGGTACGGCAGGGCTGTCAGGAGTGAATCAAGGATGCTGTACTTTGCCTTGCTAGAGTTTGCAGTCGTTGTGGAGGTCCACCCGGCCGCACGCTCCACCCTCCATCCCGTCGGGTGCGAGGATGACCAGTCTCTCAGCAAGTACGAGTTTGTGGTGACCAGCGGGAGCCCCGTGGCTGCAGACCGAGGTGGGTGTCACTGCTGGGGCTGTTTTCCATCCGGGCAGCGCTCTGCCTGGAGCTGAAGCCCCCGCCTCTGCTTTGTCCCCAGTTGGCCCCACCATCCTGAATAAGATTGAAGCAGCCCTGACCAACCAGAACCTGTCTGTGGACGTGGTGGACCAGTGCCTCGTCTGCCTCAAGGAGGAGTGGATGAAGTAAGCCCCAGCCCATCCAGGCTTCCTGCCCCTGGGGATGGAGCTGCCCGTGACCGCAGATTTGCTGAGGAAAAGCAGGAACCAGTTCTGGAAAAGGCCAGGCTTGGCTGTGGGGAGCTGGCGAGGGTAGTGGTTTTGAGTGGGGTTCAGACACCAGGGTTTTAACAACCTTGGCGGCCTTGGGAAGGAAGAACCAGTGTCTCCTGCTCCCACACGCGTCCTCTGAGAGCTAGGAGCAGCCTCTGTCCAGCAGCTGTTGAGGGCAAGGAAGAATGCCCAGCATGCAGAGAAGGTTCTTACCTGAGGTTCTGTTACTTTACTGCTTAGTTTAACTTTTAAAATCCTAAGCGAGATAATAAAGGTGGCCTTTTTTGTTTTGTTTCTCTGTGGTGTTTGGGATGGATCCCAGGGCCTTGTGCATGTTGTACAAGTGCTTTACCAAGTCGTATCATTAGCGTGTTCTTTTTTTTCCCCTTAAGCAAGTTACTATGTTTTTTCTCCTACCTTGCTTTTAGTAATTTTTTTTTTTTTTTTGGTTTTTCTCTGGTACCGGGAACCAAACTCAAGACTTTGCATTTGCCAGGCAGGCGCTTTGCCGCTGAGCTAAATCCCCAGCTCCCAATTTTTTAAATCAAATTTTATTAGTCAGATGCCCTGTAACCCGTTTTTCACCTGAATTTAAGGACAGTTCTGGCCCATTCCCTCTTTGAGATGGTTCTCACTGTATTGCCCAGGCTGACCTCAAACTACTGTGCTCAAACAGTCCTCCTGCCTCAGCGTACCTGGGAGCTGCAAGCCACAGCAGTGTCTTTCTCCTTGCTTTGTTGACAGGCCAGTGTGTTAAACTACTGCTTCCTCCAAGTGCGGGAGTCCCAGGTGGGCCTGCGGAGCTCCCACTGGTCTCAAAGCTGTTTAGGCCCCATGAGCGCTGGTGCTTTGGCTATTGGCTGAATGTGTATTTTTGGTTTTCTGCAGCAAAGTGAAAGTCCTCTTTAAATTCACCAAGGTGGACAGTCGGCCCAAGGAGGACACACAGAAGCTCCTGAGCGTCCTCGGTGCATCTGAGGAGGACAATGTCAAGCTGTTGAAGTTCTGGATGACAGGCCTAAGCAAGACCTACAAGTCCCACCTCATGTCCACAGTCCGCAGCCCCATTGCCTCTGAGTCTCGTAACTGACCCCATCCAGTTCTGTCTCCGTGTGTGCTTCCTGGGGAAGATGCTGGCAGTGCACAGGCTCTGCAAGAGATTGGGCTGCTGCTGAGTTTCTGGACGGCTGGGTCGGGGTCTGAGATGGGAGGTGCTGGGCTGGGCTCTGCCCTGTGGGGGTCAGGGCCTGTGCGTTCTTAGCAGGTTCCATAGCTGTCAGCCTGCCTGAAAAGGCAGTGGAGACCATGGACAGCTGTGGGAGGGGCACTCGGGAGCCTGGACTGCTGTGCCTCTGGGATGCAGTCTCAGAACCGACCGGAGGACTTGGGTGTTCGGGCTGCAGTAACCTGTCCTCTCAGGGTCAGCATGTGAACCTTTTCATTTTGAAATGCAGCAAGTTTCCTGGACTTCGTGTTTAAGTGTATGTTTTGCTGTTTGTAAATATCGAGGACATACTCCCATCCAGTCGGTTTTTCATCTGCTTTTAGGTTAGGGCCCTGTAAAGGCTTTTTTGGAGATGAAGTGGCTGTTCTCATCACTGGGGCCTCTGAAATTTGTGTTCTGAGGCAGCGTGGCGCACCTTGTGGGTGCACTGCGCTGCGCTGCTGTGCAGTTAACCTGCGGTTGAACGATGCAGCCCTCGGCTCTTCACACAAATGCGCCTCGGCTGAGGCACCTGGTGGCCCTGATTTGACCAACTCGTAGACAGTGAGACCCGTCATTGCTGCGTGCTGAGTCACTTGCCCCTGTGTCGTGGCTTTCAGCATTGACGTGGGGACAGATGACATCACCCCATTGTACAGTTTTGACAAAGAGTCATGGCTTGGGAGGATTTTTGGCAGTTTTCCCAATTTGTTTGTAGTTTTTTTATGTTCGTTTAATTTATATTTAACACAAAGACTTAAGTGTATTGTGACTGTCTGTATAATACAAGCGCATTGAAACACAGTAAATAATCTATTTTTGTAACCTTTTGGCTGCATGGTTTTATACCTCATACTGTGCATTGTTTTCTGACGGAAGCATGTGTGGAGAAGTGTGTGAGGTGAGTTTGTCATGTGCATGTCAGCGTATACTTTGGCAGACTCAGATGGCTGCAGTGTCACCAGGCTCACGTGTGTCACGTGGGGCTCACATGTGTGAAACATCGCCATATGGTGTGTGACTGCCGTGGCTAAAATGACAGCAGATCTCAGTGATATGACAATTTAAGTTGCTGTAGTCAGCAGGAAAGAAGGGACGTGAACTCAACAGTCTAAGCAGATTTATTGCTAAACCTGAGGGACCTCTCTGGCATCTCTTACAGGTTAAGAGGCTTTTTTTTTTTCAATTTAATTTTTTAAAATTTTTT